ATGCTGCTTTTTATCACATAAAAAATTAACCAAAATGTAAACTTGTAATATTGAAAAATTTCTCTCTTAAGTAAAATTATTGCCACTACATAATTTCAGCACAAACTAAATATTACAGTATATAAAAGAATACAGTGTATTGCCTGTAAAATTAATGATACTTACAGATTAACACAACCCTTAGCTCAATTTGGATTTAACACATGAAAATGTAAAAATTATTCATTGGGTGCAAGTTGATGGTTTTCACAACTTTTCTTAAATAGATACCCAAATTATTGATATCTATCATAAGTTGGCTAAGATTATCAAATTATGAAAAGAAAACATACTTTAGAATTTGAAATATAAATTTTAATTATTAAATAAGGAAATAAAGCACGTTCATCTCCAAATCTTTCTGTAATTATTTTGCCCTATTCTCTTCCCCAAGCGGTTTGTTTTTGCTTGAAAAAAAAATTAAATAATTTCAGAGACTTCGGCATCACACAAACTTCAGCAGCATCGGCTATCTACCAAATGCATTTCGATTTTTTTTCTTTTAGAAATTTTTTTGGCAAAATTTTGTATTCCTGTAGAGTTTCCACTGTAGTTTTTTCCATTGTTGATAAATTCCAAAGAGCATATTTTAAAATTAAGGCAAAAAAATATCACAATTTGTTCATAAAAAATGTTGAAACTTGAAATACAACACAAAGAATGTATATACAAAAATGGCGACATTGTTCCTATTAAAGGATTGTTATGAGCATGGTTGCTAGAGTTTGGCACATTTTAAAAATTTGACGAGTTCTACTGAGGTGGTTGCAAGTAATAAATTAATTGCATTGTAATATGTGCATTTTTACTGTTAAGAATATAAAAGTTTTGCTTATAATAAATATCTGAATATGCTAATTATTTATTTGCCCTCTTATGTAATTTTGATAAATTAGACACTATTTATTTTACATCAAGTAATCTTCTTCAGACTAATTTTAAATTTAGTTTCAGTGTGAATTTCTTTTGTTCTCTGCTTTCTTATGTTTAAATTGACGTCATGTAAAGCAACATAAAAAATAAAACTATTAAAAAATATATGAAAAGCAAACAAATGAACAGATATGAAAAAATTTATCAGTTCAGTTTCATAGATATTCCTGTACAGTAAAACCCCTAAGTTAATTAATAGGTGAAACTAATGAAAAGTACAACTTCACATACAGGATCTGTCAGAAAAATACATAGAACTTTAACAGATGATATCTATATATTGGTTTCTAAGTTGAATTATCCTTTATAATATGTAGTATGATATTTCCTTAACATGTTGGTACTCTCACATATATGTAATACATGACAGTGAACCAAAATGGATTTGGAGGACTTTGAGGGATGTTGTGTAGTACAAGAAATCGGTTAGGCTAGAGGTCCTTCATCAAAAAAATTATGGCAGAATGTGCAGCAGTCGCCTCAGACACATCGACTAAACATTGTTCAAATAGCTGCTCAGTATTGTGCTATAACTCTAGCTGTTAATGGCTACCGCTGTGACTGAGCAATCTAAGTAACTGTACAGGTACATATTCATAAATATTTTTATTAAACCTAGCATAGCCTCTGATATGTATGATTTAATTATAATTAAGTTCAATACTAAAGCACAAGAATTTTCGGCTAATCTTTGGAATATGGTAGTTTGGCAGGTAATAACAGGTAGTTTGGCGATAAATGTTGCTAGCTAGGACTTTAGCAAAAAAATGTGCACATGGATAAAGTCAAGAGTGTGCGCAAAAAAATTCCATTTAATGGCGTGTACAAAAAAAAAAAAAAAACAAAAACTAGCAGGTTGCTGTAGCAGAGTTGGTCGCCAAATTTTCGCCAAAATATTGCCAAGTTACCATAATCCGAAGATTAACCGAATTTTCTTTTATTATTAAAGTGTGTGCATTTTTTTGATAAGCCGTTTATAAATATAGATGAATTTTAGTTTAATAGGACCGAGGGCCAGACCACCAGCACCTGAGTGGTAAAGTCGCTGAATACTAGATATTTAGCCCAGGGTTCCAATTTTGCCGAATGCATGGCGCTTTCATGGTTTTCTTTTTTCAAGTGTAATGTGTTTAAGAGCCAGTTTCCCTTTGAAAGTCTTCCATAAAAGCATCCCTCCTGTTAAGCAGATAGCACTCGAGTGCTTTGCATAATTAAATAAACCAAACCAAAAACCGATCATGCTACTTGGCCGGTCAAAGGGATAATATGTAAGAACCTAAAACAGTATTAAAATTAATACACTGCATTTTTGTGGATGCCAATTGCCTCGTATTTTTAGCACACATTTCTAATTAGCATCTATGTTCCCCAAAGCCTTTTATCATTTGAGCAAAGGATCTTTTGTCAAACTTGTGACTATCATACATTTTTCTGTAAACTTTAAATTTAAAACTGTGTAACTTCACGTTCCCTTAAGTCAAGGATGAATATTCCATAACATGTGAAGAAAACATATATTTATTTTCTCATATGTCGAACCTTTTTCAGTATTATACTCAAATATAAGACTTCATACTACTATATTTAAAGTTTATATATATATATATCAATATACCAGAGTCTGGTCTCTACATTAAAAAAAATCACATCACAGGAAACGAAATTTGAGATTAACATTACATGATATTCAAATTTATATAATTTTAATTTCAGCTTCAACATTATTCATTTCCTAGATTAAATCTTAACATGGACTATTTAGATAAACCCACCAGCGTCAGCGGTTAATTCGCTGAACACTGGTAGTTCGGTCTGAGGTTCGAATCCCGCGAACAGGCTGGCTGCATGGACACGTTTTCATGGTTTTCCCCATGTGTAATGTGTATACAAGCCAGTTTTCCCTTAGAAAGTCCTCCATGAAGGCATCCCTCTGCTTAGGCAGATAGCCCTCGAGCTATAAATTGCTATAAATCACATAAACCAAATCAAACCCTGCAAAAAAGTTAGAAACAGATTATCATTTTAACACAGTAAACTTTTTCTTTGTGATCACTTCTGAAACTGACTACTTCTCCTCAATACACAAATTCTGGTACTGAACATCTTCTTTTTGAAATGACAAGCTTTACACAAAATTAAAATCATGTAGAACTGCTAGTGGTCATCTTAGAGAGAGTTCACTGTATTTAATAAAGGTCAGAAATTTATTCAACTATTTCTAAAAATGCAAATTAATCAACAAAATCTGTACTTTGTTTCTGTAAGCATAATTAATAACAACTTCTGAGTTTGATTTAGTATGTATGATTACAGTTTGTTACATTAACGAATGTCATTTGCTTGACAGATATGAAGAATTTCTTTTGAGGAGCTGTTTTGCTTGGAGGGTTGGTTTGGTTTGTTTGATTATGGAAAGCATACAAGGTGTATGTGGGAGGTATGTCTTTGTGGAGGATTTTTTAAGGAAAAAACTCTCCACGTTATGCATGTGGAACAGCCTGTCCAACTGAAATCAAACTCAGAGCAAACTATCAGCGTTCCAGTCACTTTACCACTCAGCCGCAGCCTCGAGGGCTATCTGCCTAAGGGGAGGGATGCCTTCGTGGAGGACTTTCTAAGGGAAACTGGCTCGTATACATGTTACACATGGAGAAAACCACGAAAACACTCATGCAGCCAGCCCATTCACGGGCTTCGAACCTCGAACCGAACTACCAATTTTAAGCGACTTTACCGCTCGGCCGCTCGAGGGCCATGAAGGAGAATAATTACATGCACTGAAAACTGAATTCTAAACTAAATGTATAAAGAAAGCAATGGAAATTCACTTATCAACACTAGTTCTTTATTAAATTAAAATACTGCTTAAAATAAATTTATATAAAGCTATTGAATGAAAATTTTCTGTTAACATATTTCAGACATGTGTAAGGAGTAACAGATTAATTATTTCTAATATTATTATGGTAATTTTCTTATAAAGGAATTAAAAAATAAAAACAAACAAAAGCTTCTTTAGAGAAATTATTCTACTATTAAAAACCATATACTACTGGAATTAACATCCCACGTTATCCAAAATTAAATAAATGCATTTTTAAGTGATAAATCAAGTTGTGCAGAAATATTAAGTATGAATATATTCATCTTAATTATTTAAAAAACTGAATGTGAAGATGGGAAAAATTAAGAGAAAAAAGCTTTGTAGATTATTTGCTAGAAATCTGACATTCTGAAAACTGAATACACGCATACACACACACACACTCATATTTATATGCATAAAACACACACATATTGATAGATATAATTCACATATGATTAATTATATATTGAAAATATATGTATGTGTGCATGCGTGTGTATACACACTCACGCATATAGTGAGAAATTTTGTAAAGTTTGAGACATAAATTTATATTCCTTCTGGAACAGTAAGGAAATAATACTTTAAAGGAAAATTTAAAAATAGTGTCACTAGAACAAATTTACGTTGCAAAGTAATAAATGTTTTTCATTCAAACAACGCACTTCCTAACGCCGAATAACAGAATGTAAACAAACGTCAGAAATGTGACACACTTATGTGGGCGGAGTTAATGGTGATCCTTATCTGGTTTGTCATTGGCCAAACTTAAGCCGTTGTTTTAGCAGTGTACATTTTGCTTATATGCTTCCCGGACGCTGGAAACCGTAGCTACGCCCCTGGCTTTGAAGAAGAAATATGTAAACTTTCATTTCAGATTACAATCAGTGCGGCAATTTACTAGTATTAGAGATAAATAACTCGGCTAAAGTGCAGAATCGCTCACTTATTTGTTTGGAGCATTTTACAAGAGTAAGAATTGGATTTTTGTCAATTTTCTCTAACTTTTAAAGTGACAATAGGTCGATGTGTACATGGATAAAGTCAAGGAGAGGTTGATGTGTATATGGATACCGAGTATGTGCAATTCTTAAAAACGCGCCAAGCAGTGGGCGATTCTGCACTTTCCCTAATAACTCTTGCTGTTCTTTAAGGTCAGTAATATCCTAAATCCTAAACAAATTTGAACATTAAGTATGTATCGTAATGATGTATATGGTTGCTACCCGAGGGAAGAAATATTCATAGCAATGCCAATATTGCACTGTTATCGCCATTGTTATAGTTTTTTACATATAAGATGTCGCGAAATAGCAATAACAGTTTCGGGAAAGATACATCGGAGATTTAAAATTAATATACGCGTATGAAATGTGACTCGATTTTTCAAATCTGAAGATACTTAAAAACTATTTGCATAGTCATTCGTCACATGCAAAAAATTACATAATTTTCCTTATGGACTTGCAACACAGATATCGCCAATATTTTCCCAGAATATGAAAAGAGGATGGTTCCTGTGGTTTATGTGTCTCGTATTCCGTTACTGTTCCGAAAAACGTTGCGGTAAGTTACAGAAACTATTAATTTTTGTTATTTATTGGAACTGGATAATGAGTGACGTTAGAACTCTGTTGAGGTTGTTTGATTATCGTAAAACGTGTAGCATAGTGAAGAAAACCTGTTAATACAAAAGACTGAATAAAAGTAATCTTTTAACTTAAGTATTCATCTTCGAAGATTTTATTAAAAATAGTTCACGTAAATTGTTAAATTTATTATTTTTTTAACCTGGATTACTTTATAACCATCAGTTTGAGATTTGTGAGCCTTGTGTTCTAATTCTCCCTTTTTTTTTTTACTATTTTATGATAAATATCAGCTTACAAAAATGATATTTTTCATTTGTCAAGCTGTAAAACTGGACTGTATTTTAATAATTACATATAAAATCACTTGATATGTTAATGATATTATGAAGAAAGATCTATAGCTACTTTGAATATTCTTAAAAATAATTTTCCTATTAAAATAAACACAAATTTTAGGGGCTTTAAGTAAAAAGTATTCTTCATGGTTTTATGTGATTTTATGTACTTTAGAAATTCTCTGTACATGAAATATAAAATTCTTGTGAATACATTGATGTAAAATGCTGCTTCATTATTTGTACCAAATTTTCCTTTTATTCTGAATAACATTTTAATGTTTACTTACCATGTTTCTTCCAGTGTCAGAGTAAAATTGTAATTACCGACTTGGTGTTACACATTCAGCCTATTTAAGAAAGTCCTATATCCCATTGGGGAAAAAAAAAAAAAAAAAAAAAGAGGCTTGAAATTTTTCTTTCCCTAAGTTTACATGGTGCTTTTGTGTTAGTCATCAACAATGGAAATGTGGAATGTTATCTGATGTTATAAAATCCACTAAACATTTGTTATGAAAGATGAACATGATCTAAGTTTTTTTTCTTTTAGTGTATGAGTTTGTGGGTACTAATTTTGTGCTTTCATCAATTTCCACAAATATTATGAATGAATTTGTGGTCTTCTAATTTTATGCTTTCATGAATTTCCACAAATAAACATTTTCCAGTAAACGTTAGCTCCTGACTGAGTAAGTAAATGAATTCTACTGTAGTTAATGAAAGGAATGCAAAATTAAACAAACCATGCTTCATACACCTTTTTCTGCCAAGGAATTACTTCCAAAGTTAAATTCAGCTAATAAATATTAATTTATTTTTCTCTCCAAGAAAATGATTGCAGAATACAGAACTGGACTCCACCTCTGGAGGTAGATTCATATTTTTCATCTTTTGGTATGGTATCAAATGTTGCATGTTTTTCATTTGGAGGTTTTATGAGACAAGGTGTTTTTTATTTTTATCCTATTACTTTTTTCTGTTTATTAATAATAGGAATTTCATTCTTAAAACAAATTATAGTCAAGGTTTCTTTTAAATGTACGGAGTACACTGTGTAGTAAATATTAGCACAGATTGAGAAATTCAAACTGCGATTCAAGGCAGCGTATTTTCACAAATGTTGTCATTTTAACCACTTGTTGGAAAGTTGCCACTTCAGATTGTATTTCATCCAAGTACAACACTCCATACTTAATACCTGATATTTCAGTAAGCATGCTAAAGAAAATGTGTAATTGAGCTCATAGACATAACCATACTAGTAGTCATAGTTTCCTGATACGTCTTCCATTAGAGTTCTACAAAGTATCACAAATGTCATCATTTTAATCATTCATTGTAAAGTTGTTTCAAATTCCTTTTCTACTAACATTAATTGGTACTTTTCCATTTCGCCGGCGCATATCTCGCCAAGCAGACTTTATTGGCGACAACACACAATATACACATAAAAAATGTTAACAAATATTAGTTCTTAGGAATTTTTTTATTTTGAAGGCAAAACATTTTAATATGGTTTGAAATTTTGTAAAAAAAAGACAATAAATAAAGACGATAATTTGTAAAACATTAATTAAGAATAACGGTTGATCTTTAGATTATGGTAATTTGGCGACCAACTCTCCTCCAGCAACCCTCTATTTTTTTCCCGCCGCCAAAGATGTTTCTTTCTTTTTATCTACTGACACTTCTTCCAACAATCTACTAGCCGAATTACACTTTGTAGAAATTTCTAACAAACGCTTAATCATGACAAATATTCACTGCAAAAATGGAAAAGTGCACAACCATACTCCTTACGCGTTTTTCAAAAAAACACATACACATAAACCTGTACATTCGACTTATTTTACTTAAAAAACATCCCGAATTCACAAAAATAGCATTGCGCACACTCTTCACTATATCCATGTACACTGCTTTTTCTCATAAATTAGAAAAATTTCACAAAATACATGACAATTTCTGAATCTTTTAACCTGTAAAAGGAACATATATGAAATTACCTATAACGAAAAAGTAATACCTTTCCAAATATTAAACATTTCCCTTAAAATAAATAAAATATCCAAAAACGTTTACCTCTAACTCATCTATTATTATAACTCACCAAGAATTCATACCGCAAGCTTACAAATACTTAGTGTCAAATATTTAAATTTTCCATGCACGTTTACTTCAACTAAAACTAGAAATCCTACAAACATAAATTCACAAAATAACTATCATTAATTGAAAATAATTAAATTCAAAAACACTACTTAAAATATAAATAACACACATGAAATTAATAAAAAATTACTTCAATCCTAATTACTTTAAACTAAATATTGCTAATAACAATTTTCCCAATAATACCAAATTCCTTTCTTCCACCTTACATTTAGAACAATGCATAAAAAATATCCTCAAATAATTAAAAATACTAACTTCCTAATCTTCTCAGAATCTTGATTAGTGTCTTAAAACTTTTATTCCTCAGCTAAAATAAAAAGCATAGTGCGCCTGTTTCAGGATCTTTAAATCATACTTATAGTTCAAGCAAGTACCAGGGAAAAAATAACTTTAAAACATCTTACTCTATCTCTCACAACCTTAAGAATATTATTACTACCCCTTTCAATCCCACTAAATACCCATTTCGAATTCACTTTAGTTAGGGCCATGGGATCAAAAATTAACGAACACGTTTCACACAACACAGAATAAAGCCAAATACAAATTTCCCAATTTTTTCCGTTTCCCCCCTTTTCGATTAAAGAACCGTAATCGTCTATTAATATCACATGACATATCCCATGATCTCTCATTCCCTCACACAAAATATGCGTATCGGAACTGAGTACTGCTCACATTATTTCCAAAGTCCCTTTATCGCCTCCAAAATGTTGCCAAACTACCAGTTACCATATTCTAAGATCAGCTGAATTAACTAGCTTTATTGACAACATAGGATTCGCTGTTTCATATCACATGACCCAATTGATCTCTTCTCACGAGACTACGCTCAAAAAATCTAATCTCTCAGTAATTATCTACATTAATTTTAAGTTAAATCTTAATTGGAATACAAGTTTAAATGCAAGAATTATTTCAATTCCTACGAATAGCTTACTCAGAAATTATGAAAAACCACAGTGTTTTACTTCGCTAGTGTAGTGTCATTAGAATTGATGAATTTAACCCTTGACTTTGCTTTTTCTATATTTTCGAGAGCGGTGTGATTGCATCCTGATTGACTTAATTACTGCGAATGGCCTTAGGGCATAAAAGTGAACTATCTGGTAAAAATTCTATGTAATTGTATGCCAGTATTGAAATAAATAATAAATCTGGTTAGAAATGGCTGCGACTTGTTTTGAAAATGAGGTGTAAAAGGTTACCAGCGAGGATATTCCGTTTGGCATCAGTTGTACTATTTTTGGCGACTTTATCACTTGCACCGGCAAAATGGAAAAGTACCCATTAATTCTTTAATCTTTTAGCTGCTCCTTTTCATCATTTGTTTTAAGCATCTGATTTTAATTTAAATTTGGTTAATCTTTGGAATATGGTAACAGGTAGTTTGGCAACATTTTGGTAAGGTGATAAAGGTTACTAGCTAGGTAACGCGGCAAGCAGTGGGCGATTCTGCACTTTGTCCCAATTTCGCACCTAATCTTCGTCATGATTAAGCACTTTTGTTCCATTAAAGTTCTAGCATAAGTGTAATTCGGCTAGCAGATTGTTGGAAATGTTGAGTAAAAAAAAGAAATGCCTTGGTTGATCTTTAGATTATGGTAACTAGGCGATTTTTGGGCGAAAATTTGACGACCGACTCTCCTACAGGCATTGCGCACACTCTTCACCATATCAATGTACACTCCTTTTTTCTCAAATTAGAAAATTTCACGAAATGCATGACAATTTTCTGAATCTTTAAACCCGTTAAAAAGACATATATGAAATTACCTAATACGAAAAGGTATATACCCTTTCCAATATGAACATTTCCACGTATAAAATAAATAAAATATCCAAAAACTTTTACCTCTAAATTATCTATTATATTATAAACGTCACCAACGAATTCATACGCAAACATTACAAACACTTAGTGTCAAATAGTTAATTATTTCCATGCACGTTTCTTCAACTAAAACGTATAACCAAATTCCTACAAAATTAAAATTCACAAAATAACTATCATTTAATTGAAATATAATTAAATTCAAAAACACTACTTAAAATATAAATAAGCACATACATGAAATAATAAAATTACTTACAATCCTAATTACTTTAAAACTAAATCATGTTAATAATAATTTTCCAATAATACAAAAATACTTTACTTCCTTACATTTAGAACAATGCATAAAAAAATTCCTCAAATAATTAAAAATACTAACTTACCTAATCTTCTTCAGAATCTTGCTTACATTGGGGATACACTTTTATTATGTATTCAATACAATTATGAATGATTTTTTCTGCGAATTTTCCTCTGCTAAATAAAAAGCAAATTCTCTTTATCACAATGCCTCGAATGGCGCTTTTTATAGCACTCCACGTGCCCTCTATTGTATGTTATGTGCACCTGTTTCCGGATCTTTAAAATAATATTTGTGGTTCACAGCAAGATGTTTAAAACCTTCAT